TAACTGACTTTACGCCTCTGGGTTCTGGCCCTTCTGAGAAAAAATTATACGATATTACTGTGAAAGCTGGATAGCATACAGAATTTTGTGTCTGTGGCGGGAGCAAAGGTAACCTGACTATAGATATCTGATCTGATCGAATCTTTACTAATATTAAATCAGCACACTCCGAATCCATGTTGTTCTGTCTGCCCTATTCCTAAAGTTTTTTCGTAAAGCCGTAGGTGCGGAGGGAGAGCAGCCCCCGCCCGTCGTAGCAAATCGCAAGCTCCTGTGCGAGCCGCGGTGTGGTTATTATTGTATTATATATTATGTTTTTAATTTAAAGTAATTATAAAAGCTAACATTTTGGTGTTTTGTTGAGTGCAAGAGCGAGCGAAGCAAGGTCAGGACTTAGGGCACCCCGACTCGGACAGATTAGGTTAGAAGGGGATGGCGGGGTCTAGTAAGCGAGCGAAGCTCTTTGCTCCGTCTCCGTTTGGCTCCGTCGACCGGCCTTCCCTCGACTGCGCTTCGTGGTGCTTCCCTCCTCCAATTCTCTCCCCCGATAAATCAAGTTTATAGTCAAAAACATTACATAAACATAACCTCAAAATTAGAATTTTAAAAATTTATAAAAAGAAACTAAGCATGTCCGGCAGGATGTGGAAGTGGGGGGCGACTCTACAACTCCTCCGCCTCCCTCTCCACTACCTCCCACCCTTTAATTCATTTTGAGGAATGATTTTGAGGTTAGTTCTATGGGATTTTCTTTTTGATTTTTCTCAAGAACGGTGCATTACCTTTTAATGGGAGTGGTATTATTATAATCGGGGACCAAACCTCTACCAAATAAAACACTTTACTCCCCCAAATTCCTGCCAAACTATTCTAAATTTCAACCATATATAAGATTGTTCTGTTTTAAGACCAAAAATAATTGTACCTAATTGTATTTCATTTTGAAATGTTTTACTGGTGAAATGAAAAAACTGAGACACGAAGTACATAGTGACTGTTTTAGCTACCTGTTAATATTTTATTGACATGATATTAAAAAACTTGGCATACTCAGTAGAGCGAGACAGAATTTCATGCCGGTACACCGCTTGCAACTTTACAAGGCGCAGGTTCGTTCTTACATGGAATACTGTTCTCTTCTCTGGGCCAAGGCATCCCATTGCCAGCTCCATCCACCGAAACGCATCCAGCACAGAGCGGCTGAAGTCGTCGACAACTGAGTATTTTCTGATCAGCTCGATTCACTGGCACTGCAAAGAGCTGTTGCATATCTTTGCATTTTCTATCGCATTTACCACGGAGATTGCTCTGAGGAATTGTTCAGATTAATCCCAGTAGCCAAATTTCACCAATTCACTCCGCACACAATTCCATCCAAACCATCTGCTTGGCGGTCCATCACTGTCCGTTTTACTAGGAGTTCTCTTCCCTGCACGACTTCTTTACGACGACGACGATCTTTCCGGACCGATACGATTTAGGGACCTTCAAGAAACGAGCTTACTCCTTTTTAAAAGGTTGGCAACGCACCTGCAATTCCCCAGGTGTTACAGTTGTTGCCATGCGGTCTCCACTTATCATCAGGTGAGCAGCTTGCTCGTTTGGCCCCTCTTTTCTCGATTAAGAATCAAAACACAGATGCGTTGTCACCCCTGAGGACTAAGATGAAATGCCTCATTTCCATTAAAAAGGGTCTCCGGATCTTTACACTCGCCGTATGAAACACAGCAGCATTACGCTGCTATTTTACGCTGGTATTCTGTGAGAGCGTTTTCCTGCCCGATCGAGCTGACCCATTCGTGCTACAACTATAATAGCCACAGCATGGCTCTACCACGTATGTGCCAAACGTAAGCTATATACCTAAATAAAGTTGTTAGTTATAAGAACAATTAATCAAAATTATAAAAACCAACATTTTTTTTAAATCACGTGATAATAAAATAAAGAATACATTTATTATGTAATTAGATTTATTCTAGAGTATTAGAATTTTCTATAGAAAAAAAATCCCAGGAAAAATTGTCCATGACCATTGAGCTATTATGTACTACGTACTAGAGGAGACACTGCATTCAGCTACTCTGTTCCACTCAACTGCGGTGCATGCACTGCACTTTAATCAGTCACTCGCTAGGCGCTTGTAGAGTTGTCACGTGTTGTGTTGATTTAAAAAAAATCTCTTGATAAAAATATGCCGTCTTGTGTACTTAGATATTGCACAAATAATTCAAGAAATGTCAGTAAAAACCAAGGAATTACTTTTCATCGGTTAATAAGATACTTATTCAATAAAAAAGTATTATAAATTAATAATAAAGCAAATTATTCCTAAGACGCCATCTCGTATCATTGAATATAGATTATGAAATTATTATGTTCAGATGCGACATTTCTATGGGTACTTAAGTTTAGGACGAATATATTATTATACTACACATTTTTTTTGTAGAAACATATAAGTTATTATAATTAAGCTAAATTTTTCATGTTTAAATCTGCTTATTATTCTTTTATTTTATTTTTAGGTTTCCACTTCAAAGTCAAAGTGGAATAAATTCGTCCATTTTTATCTCTCGCGTGCCCAGGATTTATGAACGATTATTTACAACATTTATGATTCTAATTTAAATAAATATATTTGTAATTTAAATTTTATGTTAATAAGTTTTGTTAAACATACATTTAGTACGTTTTTTTATATTTGACATAGATACCTTTTAAAATATTCAGATAACAATATCATCAAAATGTAATTCTGACATAATATTATGTAATATTATATTAAATTAGCACATATACAAAATAAAAAACATTTTAAAAAATTGTAAGTATTCGATATAATTAACAATACAATATAAATAAACAATTATTACATACTGACCATTCTACTTACGTATAATCTATAATAACAAAAACTGACCGCGCAAGCGCAAAGCGCGTTTATACCAACTGCGCATGCGCGACTCTACTATTACCGCGCATGCGCGAAGACATAGAAGTAGCGCACAATTTTTGTTTGGAATAGCTTCTCTAGTACGTAGTACATTATAACTCAATGTCCATGACAGTAAACATTTTTTTCTAAGGGTCATGATTCGAAAATAGAACTTTATGATCTTCGTAATTAATTTTATGGAATTAAATACAAGTTTAATTTATTACCGGTAACATGTTTTTTATATTATAAATATTAATAATAAATAAAAATATTATTATTATTTATTTATTTTAGAACTATCATTGTAAAAAATCAGTTAATTTTTTAAGTTATTCAAGTTTCATGTACTGAATTAATTTTGTTGTACCTTTTTACTGCTACCCTTAGCACTTTCAGTAACAGTATTGTGATCGCACTGTAATCATTTATCGATAGTCATTATAGGGAAAATATTATACACACTAGATAACGCACACAATAACAAATCCAAATTTGTCACGCGGTTTGGGTTGTCCGGTCGTCTATACGCCAGTATTGGTATATTCTAAGTCTATAGGTGAGGCCTATGTTCAGCAATGGACTTTTGATTGGCTTTAATGATAACTCTTACTTCAATTTCGGAATAAGAAATGAAGAACATTATGTTAAATTGCTAGCTCTAGAAAGAATATCGAGCCCCTTTACACTTTTAATTACGAAAAACTTAATAGTAGAATCATCTCTCACAGTGCAGTAGTACTTTCAGAGTCTTCGTCACCCACGGTAAAATAAGAGGAACCCACAAGGTCGGCCCGAGGAGGCCACTCCGAGTGGGCTTGCCGACCCACTTTAGATGTGTGTTTGTGGACTGCGGCAAGACTGCGGGTTGTCCCCTTCGCCTACTGCCGCAGCCGATGTGGAGTCACGATGGAACAGGGATGTTGGTTTGCTGATGCGCCACTAGTCCTATCCTCACAGACACAGGGTTCTCCGTTGCGCAGGTAAACTTGATGGTCGCAGAGGATGGCATGCCAAGTGTTACGAGAAGACCCCGCAATGGTGGCAATCATTGCATTATTCAATTTGTCTTAAGACTACCAGCTCATCAATCAATACTAAAAATAACGGGTAACAAGTTACGAAGCTTCATAAAATTATCTACAAAATTATAAAAAATTTAATGTATTTGATAGCAAACAAGTTAGCTATGCTTGCACTGCAGTGCCAGCCAGCCTGTAGGTCATAGAGAGCCAGTGGTAACTGTATGGAGTGTAGAAGTAAGGAGTACCAACTCTCATAGTAGAATAGTTGAAAAAGTGGCCATCTGTAAGCAGTAAAAAACTCTCCACAACAGCGCTGGAGTAGCTACTGTGATGAAATGAACTTAGCAGTTGTCGACGGTTTGAAGTGTGCTGCTAAACTGCTCAATAGCTCTTAAATCTAAAATAATTTTATTTAGTAAATATAACCTCGAAAAAGTCGTCTATCCCACTAATATTTTTCGGCACGTTGTTTAAAATTTAGCCACCCTTATTTAACTGTTTTCTATGGACACTTTTTAATACAGTCTGTACTCCTTACTTCTACACTCCACAGTCATAGAGAGCCAGTGATAACAGGCTGTGAGGTGTTCCATATGGTTTTTAGAGGTGATAATGTATCTGTGGCCATGAGCTGCAGTACAGTAGCCAGTTACAATCAGGTGGACTGTTAGTTTGCTTGCCACATCAATTTTATAAAACCACGCACTTAAATAAAAGAACCATTGTTTTTTGTATTTATTTCAACTTCATATATTTTCTACGTAATTAATTATTTTATATAATGCAATAATTGCTAAGTACAATGATCGAAACATTAAACACAATTTACGCTGATAAATTTGAAAAGTGATAAAAACAGTTACAGTTCTAAAGAGATATATTTTTGGTGATTTTTTTTAATACATATACATTTTGTAATATTATTACATTTGAAGAAGTATTTACAAAAACTCGTGCAATGACTAGATTTATAAATGACTAGGTATAATCATTACCGACTCTTGAATAGTAACTATTTTAATAGGCCAAGCAAAATCTTACTCTATGATGTCGTCATCTAAATCTGAAGAATCGTCTTTGGTTCCTTCATTGTCATTTAATTTTATTGGATCCGCTTTTTGGTTTTGTGAATCATGTAACCTTTCGTAAACGCTTTTTAAGTTTCTCATGATAAAAGAAGTGCCATGATTTCCGCCTACAGGCCTATTCTGATCGTAGTACTTATTAGAATTATCCGTCTGATCACGAACTGGTACAGAAAATGCTGAAACATGACGAGGTCTTTGTCCGAAATCTCTATTAAGTCGTTTGTCCAAGCTGGATTCATCTGGTCTCGTTTCTTGGATCATATTTGTTTCCAATCCGTCAGCAACTGTTCGTTTTCTGTCATAAATGTGGCCGGATACGCGAAGGTCAATGAAAAAATTTAATGGGTCAACTCCAAATTGGGGATTATATAAAGGAGGATACCACATTGGTGGAGGTGGAGGTAAAATCAAATTTTGTGGTGGCACTGCCTCTGGATTTCTAATACATGGAGATGATTTCGGTAATTCTTCTGATCCGACATCAATAAACGTGGATTGTCTACCGGGTGGTCCGGGACTACCGCTTGACTTAGTTTGCTCAGATTTCGGAGAGAGTCGCATCGGTGATACGTCACGTACCCTGGGTTGCTTTTCGACTGTCAGCTCTAATGGGACCTCGGGTCTCGCTTCAGGTTCCTTTTTCTCCTCGTCCTGTTTAGGCCAATCTCGTCGCCATTCAGTTTCATTCTCGGCGAAGTATTTATGAGAGCGGCGCTTAAAACGTCGATGGAATTGTGGGGGTCGGCAGCCATGTCTGGCACTGACGAACGACCGAAGCATTTCACTGAAGAAAAAAGCGTGGGGTTGAAGTGGTAAAGCGCTATAGAGGTAAGGCGGAGTTGCCGCAAGTAGTCGCGAGACGAGTTCAGTGTTTCTTAGCTCCCTTACATGGGTTTTAGGTGACGTCTCCGCTGGTTTCTCCTCTTGAACAGAACTCATTTTCTGAAACATAATTAAAATAATTTTATTTTTTTATCATTATAATTAAAGTGTCATCAGACTCTCGACGTGAAGGAGATGGATGCATTTTATTGAGAGTGCATTCATTTGTAGGGGTGCCGTGAACCTCTTTTATACGACAAGATTAAAATCGTAAGGGATAATATATGTTTTAATAGTGATTTAATAGCATGGTATTAAGTTCAATATTAACCGTAATAGTATTAAAATCTTTAAATAAAAAATGGCTTTAGCATTTTTTCTTCGAAAAAAAACCCTATTTTGTATATTATATTCGTCCTGTAAAATTCGCGAACCATTTTTGATGTATTTATGTATAGGTAGCAAATCTGCAGCGTGGTTTACCGCTTAAAATTTATATTATATTTGAAATATAATAATTGTAAATAAAGTAAAGCTTATTTAAAATAAAGTCGTAAGTAGTAAAACTTCTTTTTCTGGAGCTATAATTCGATAACGTACAAGACAGTTAGGCTTCTTTTCAATATCGATTTACTATACTTACAGTCGTACTTCTTTTTGCCCTATGAGTCCGTCTGGGTAAGTAGCACCCTCTCATCTAATTTTGCAGCTATAAAGCAGTGTCATCAAACACTGCTATGAAGGACTGTGTTCCGGTCTGAGGGGTATAGAGAACCAGTTTAAACAAGGGCTGTGAGGTATTCAATCTTGTTCATCAGAGGTGACAATGAATCTGTAGAATTCTTTGTTCGAAGCTGGTTGCAGGTGTACATGGGCTGCAGTAGTCATTTACTATCAGGTGAAGTGTATGTTTATTTGTCACCATTGAGCTATTATGTACTACGTACTAGAGGCGACACTGCATTTAGTTATGCTGTCCCATTCAATTGCGGCGTTATCGCCGCACCTTACTCAGTCACTCGCTAGGCGCTAGTGAGTTGACACGTATTGATTAATTATATTTAAAAAAATCGATAAAATATGCCTTGATGTGTTTTTAGATATTGCACAATTAATTCAAGTAATGTTAGCAAATACCAAGGAATAACTTTTTATCGGTTATAACGATACTTAATCAATAAAAAAGTATTATAGATTAATAATAAAACAAATTGTCCCTAAGACGCCACCTCGTGTCATGGAATATAGATTATGAAACTTAACTCTATTAAACATATTTTTGCCACCAAGCAGCAGTTCACTCAGTGATACATTTTTATTTTGAACACAATACATGCAGTATAATTATGGACTGTAAGGCATTTCTTCTTAGTCCTGTTCGAAATTGACCCTGGGTGCACTATCCATTTACTGCACTGATTGTTAGTCTACCCTTCTTATATTATAAAAAATGTTAAATAATTAACAATGACTATAGTAAGTGAGGGTAATATGGTCATCCGGTTAATATGGTCACTTTCTTATAACTCAAAAACTACCGCCTTGTTTGTATATACTATATATGTAGATGACTCTGTGATACGATAGCTCTTCAATCTTCATCAGTCAATTAAATATTAAAGGTTCAAAAGCGTGCTACTTCATCGAAGCCATTATGACAGTTGACATTATAGTAAATATTTTAGTCGATTTTAGTATTGTGTAGTGTCGTTAGTTTTTTTAGGTATAATTTTCGAAGTGTTCCTAATTATTGCTAGAGCTCGTTTGCTGTTATTTTTTTAATATATTAGTTATAGTATATGACTTTCTTTCTCTCTGTCCTCCTCCTAGTTTTGGTTTTATAGGGCAGCAAAACTTAAGCTGACATATTACCACACGTACCTTATTAGAAATTCTTAACTACCATAACCATCTAACAACATAAAATGTAGTATATACCAAAAGAATATTCCTCGGAAAATACGATAATATTCAAGGCGGAATCGTACGATGTAAATGCACTCTGGGCTTGCACTTAGGCTGAAATAGTCGGTCGGTGATTATGTCAGGCTCTCCGCCACGAACAATACCTTTTCGTCGTACCTATCCGTCTATCTGTTTGTATACGACGTTCGCAATTGCACGAGAGCACGAGATTCCATTTTTTTAAGCTCCAAATGAACATTTAATATGAAACTATAAAATAATTAAGAATAGTTCTTTTATCGTAACTTAGAAACTTTAGACACGAAATTTTATAGTGGTCGAGCCACGTTGCAGCTATTTTATGGTTGTAGGTTGTAGCACAAATAGGCCGGCAAGGCTGGGGAAGGACCACGCTCTTACAGAATACGATCGTAAAATATCAGCTTTAAGCTATGGTGAATGTAGAAAACCAGAGGAACTTTTTCCTTTTGCCTCTAAACGGGACATACCAAGGATAACACTATTTTTACTAGAAATGGGGCATTCCACCTACATATTCCGGAGTGCAAATGCGTCCGAATTTTGATTCTTAATCGAAGATTGATGCAGACATCTATAGGCCACAGCATCTATTTATCATCAGGTGAATTATGTCCTCATTTGCCACCCTTATTCTGTAAAAAAACCCCAACAATAATAATAGTTTTGAGTTATGTATTTTTCATAACCGCTAAAAGTATAAAGGAGAGACCTTTGTTTAATAGTAAGATATTTTATGGCCTTTAGCTATGCAATTAATAATTTCATTTTTAATAAAAATATTAACACAGTTGTCTTCTCACACTGCGTTTGAATAAATATGGATATGAATTTTATTAAAACGGATATCCTGCAGTATCGTGTTATATCGCAGTGATGTGATAGCACTCGGTTGTCGGTGCGTCTGTCGACATCGATTTTTCAGCTCATCGCTGTTTTATTGCCAATATGCGAATGACGCTGATACATACATCCGATAGCTCACGGCTACAGAATTATTTTGTTATCTTTTTTTAACGTCCGTCTTTTGCATAATGCTTTTAAATGTTAAAACTAAGCAAAAGATTTTTATATAAGTATCAAACAGAATAATATAATATTCTATTACATATATAAGTCTATATTCATCTTCTTAACGGAATTTTTTTAATTATTTATGATATAATCTTACAGAATATAAATAATACATTGTCTCAGACAGTAAAAGTAAAGTGATAGCCGGTATAAAACAGCAGTATACTAATTAATGAAAAAAATCTTATTGTGATTTTTGTTAATAGTATAAACTCCTATAGCTGGACACGACCCCCTGACTATTTTGTAAAGGTTTTGGAGCGGTATAGATTCCGCCGCGCTGCTCTAATGCGTGTTTAATTTTTTCACGTGGTAGAGCTACGCTGCAAATATATTGTGGTTGTAACACGAATGGGTTGGCTCGATCGCGTTCGGACCACGCTCTCACAGAATACCATCATAATACTATCACATACTGCTGTGTTTCGTAAAACCGGAGACCTTTTTACTAGAAACGGCGCATTTCATTTTAGTTCTTAGGAGAAAAAATGTATATATCTGTGGGCTTCGGCATCCATTTATCACCAGGTGGACTGTGTGCTCGTTTGTCACTCATATTTTATATAAATAAATTGTCCTCGAAAACTTTTTATATCTTATACTTATAAATATTTGGTCCCCATCGAGAACACGCGGTATATTGCCATTTAAAATTGCAATTAGATAACATTTGCATTGTTGCTGATTGGGGCCGAACACGGGTTGCTCGCGTACTAAAGTTTAAGATGAGCGCATAGTCGCTGAACTAGTACGGTTTGTAGTTATAATATTGGTATAACATCTCATGTTTCGCCATTTATTTATAATTTAGGGCTATATAAAGAGTTTTGATGAAGTTATCATTAGGAAACACCATTAGTTTTACGAAAAATTATTTAGAATTATCTGTTCAAGACATATTATTATTTCAAAAAAATAAATAGAATAAATAAACATATTATTTTTGACAAAAACTATTTAAAAAAATTTGGAAAAAGGAAATACGGAGTTGACAGTCAATCATGTCAGATGATTTTGTTCGGGCAATTAAAATCGCTTTAATAATAAAAACTCTTGTGAATGAACAACGAAATATATCTGTATTGTTATAATATTTACTTATACATATAATTGTTTTTTTGTTAATGATGACGTCTTCATCCGCGGCAACAACTTTTGTTCTAGTTCTGCATGAAAATTGCTAATGTATGGAACAATAACTATTTCCTAAAAATTTTAAATTATGTACTTACATAATAAATCTCTGACATTGACTTCCAGTTTAAAAAAGACGAGAGCAAAAGGAGTAGATTGAATTGCAATACAATGTAAGTTACAAAGAGCAAAAAGTGAAATAAAGACTTATTTATATACTTTTATTACAAATAGCATTCACACAACAAAGCCTTTCTAGGTCCACAAGGACATAGGTATCTTTAACAATGCTCCAGTGAATATTTCCTGGACCTAACCTATACCCACTATGCTGAGCAGGCAGGTTGGTGAGCACAGAGACCTGGCACGCACACACGCACAATTGTTTGTACACAATTGTTAACTACCTACGGTTCTGAATCATGGACGCATACTTCAAAATAAGGATATTCCAACCACTGCGCTAAGCGATAGACAGCCGTTATATTAATACGAATAACAAAAGAATAACTGTCGTTCGCCTACACTTAGATACACTAATAAGGGATCCCCGAATGATAGGAATTAAATGTCACATTACCATACCATTGAACAAGTTCAAAGTGAAAACGATATGTCGGATTTGCGTGACAATGGACGAAGAGCGGGGTGTGGGGTTGTTCACAATAAATTCAGAGTGGCGTATCTCTATTCAAACAGTTGATACGGAGCGTGAAGCGGGGATGAAATCTTACGTACGCGACGATGGGCAAACATGACGGCTGTTCCGAATTCCTCCCCAGCCTCCCCCGATGGTTTAAAGACTATTTTTATCGTTGTTACTAATCTTATAACATTATTTTATATCAATAAAAAGAGGATTTTTATATACTTTGGAAACACACTATGTATTGTACAATAACATTTTAATTAAATATAGATGAATAAAAGTTATATTAATTTCTACAAAATATGTATCGGAGCCGTGT